TTTCCCAGGCCCTTGTACAAATGATCAGGGAATGGATCAGCTGGAGGTCAATGTTCAGGGACTGATAAGAGCAATTTTAAAGTCCCCCACTAAGGTGAATTGGTCCACGGTTGAACTGTGCACTCAGAAAGAATGAGAGCATTCGAAGGCTTTTGTTGAACTGTTTATACCGATTTTTTAAAAAGGCATTCTGCATTAAACCCTGAAGTTTAAGAACATAGAAATCTTTTGATTTCCATCTTAGTTGGAAATCTACCTGACCTAAAGAAGCAAGTTTGGTTGGCTGGGTGGGTCATTGTCTTGATATTCAAGCTGCAATTCAATTCTTTGAGGAGTTAGAAACAACTCCTTGTCTTGCAAATCTCTACAAAACCAGAACTGTTGCTCTAGAAGCAACTCAAAGCTCACTTATCCTTACCAATTCCAAAACCTCTCCTATTCATCTCAAAATGCTTGTGAGTATTGTAAAAGAGCAGGTCATTGGAAACAGAATTGTCCTGAAGAAAAAGAAAGGAGATTTTAAATAGTAATGACTCTCAATCTCTGATAATAGGCAAGTATATCCCAAAACTCCTTAAAGAAAACTTGCCTTCGTGTTGTAAATTTTCCTTTTTTAAAAAATATTTGTCAGAGAGAAAGAGAGAGAGCACAAGCAGGAGGACCTGCGGGCAGAGGGAGAAGCGGAGCCCCAGGCGGGACTTGATCCCAGGACACTGGGATCACGACCCAAGCTGAAGGGAGACGCTTAACCGACTAAGCCACTCAGGCGCCCCATGCTGTGAATTTTCTACCTCCATCTTCTTTAGGACTTAAAAGTCATTCTTTGAAGTGAAAGTGTTAAGGGAGAAGTTTCTCCTCAAAGGAGGGGGGGGAAAAGGACTGATTTGGAAATTGGAAAATTCTTAAATGTCCTCTCCACAACTATGAGTAAAATGCTTTAGCCATCTGAGCAGGCAAATTTAACTTATCCCAACTGCCAAAACAAATTTTGGATTCAACTGTTCTTTTATCAGCTGGTTAGTTTTGGATTATTGTACCTGACTCATGGCTAAAAATTTAAAACAACAGCTGTAGGGTCTCTGTTTGTGTCAGTCTGTATGTTTATGTCTGTCTGTATATGCATATTGCAGATGTGTGATATTTTTCTGCCTCTGGATGGTACTGCCAAGTTAATTTATCAAAAAGCTCTATTTAACTGGCTTAAAATTAAGTGCTTATAATTTAAGTATTCCTAAAGTTCTCAGAAATATAACAGAAACTGACCCAAAGGCTTTTCAGGTTCACATGATCTGGAAAAATATTCACTATTAAAGCTAGTTGAAGGGGTGCCTGGGTGGCTCAGTCGTTAAGCGTCTGCCTTTAGCTCAGGTCATGATCCCGGGGTCCTAGGATCAAGCCCTGCATCAGGCTCCCTGCTCAGTGGGAAGCCTGCTTCTCCCTCTCCCACTCCCCCTGCTTGTGTTCCCTCTCTCACTGTCTCTCTCTCTGTCAAATAAATAAAATCTTTAAAGCTAGTTGAAGTTCATTGGTTTAATTAAAACACACATGTCTTTAGAGTTATCAACATTGACTATAACACAAGTAACTTTTATCCTACTTGGGTTTATAGTCAAATTCATATCATCTCTTATAAAATTTGTCAGTAAGAAAAATAATTTGGGATGAAGGCTGACTTTGTCTAATGTCTCATGAGGTTTTTATGAGTAGCTTAAACATAATTGTTAAGAGCAGTGATTTACATAGATGCAAGGGGGGTAAGAGTTTGTAGGTGAACTTTTTAGCAATAATTATATTTTATGGTGCGTGTACTTGAAAATAGCTTCCAAAATCCGTTTGGTAACTTGAAACTTTAGAGTTGTGCAAAGTTAAGTTAAATAATAAAAAAGTATTGAATAGCTAGAGCACTTCCAAATAAGACAAAATAGTAAAACATTAATTACTGAACATAGGTTAATCTCCTTTTGGCTTCTTATTGAAGAGAAACTAAAGATGTTCAGGACTATTTGTGAACATGTTTTGTGCCATATTGAAAGACTGTGTTATTAAAAAGGGCACATGCTTCTAAAAATTATGAAATGAATTCACAAATCTGCCAACATAGAGAATACTGGTGGAACAGTTGACAACTGCTTACTTCTTAGTTTTCACTAGCAACTAAGGTTTCTGAGGGTTAAGAATTCTATTTAATATACATAATGAAACTATCAGAAATCATAAGGGAAAAAATTCCGTATGCAAGGAAAGTCAAATATGGTTTTTTGGTTAGAAAAAATATGAGAAATGGAAATGAGGGAAAAAGAGAGTAATTTGTTCTGAAAGTGAAATATCAGATGGGAAAGGAGAGAATCAAGGACAAATTGAATAGAAAGTTAGGAAGAGAGGAAGAGAGAGAATCTGACCTTGTGTGGTCAGGTTGGCTGGGAATGAATACATGTATTAGAATGGTTATGAAATTCAGCTTTAAAATTAGTAGTGTATTTATATAAAACTGAAACTTGATTGTCTCTCGACTGCTAAAAAGACAAAGTTTTCTTGGACTATTATTAGTCTGCTCCTGGGAAGAGATAATGAAAAGTTTCTCTTTACTTTTTAAGTTATCTGCCTAGGAAGAAAAGATTTTGCTTTTTATCAAAATAATTTCTTGTGTTTCATGTTGTCTTAATCAGGTCTTGGATTCCCCAAGAAAACAGAAATTCTTCAATATTAGAAGATCTAAGTTTTGCTCACAACTATGTAACCATCTGTGTTTGCCTTTGAAATCTTTTATCGTCACTTTGGTTAAATAGATAACAAAGTATTGTTTCATAATGATCTGTGATCCTTACTAGTCAAGTGTCTAAACCTTTTGATATTTGTGACAAACTTCCCTAAATCAAATTGTAAATGAAGTCTTTTTGACCTTGAATCAACTGTGGAATTTTCCAGAGGGTCCCTAACACATCTCAAAAGGTTTTTGTCTCTCCTTATAAAAAGGCCGATATTCCACTAATTAGGCTCATTTTATATGTTAAATTACATGAGAAGCATTGTCAAATAAGAAGTAATAGTAAGCCTTTTTCATGTTGTGTTTGTGTCAATATAAAAGCATTCCAGAATTGAATGAAATTCCGAAAATTCTAGTATGTCCTGGTACAATGTTACTACATGAAATTCCAGTTATTATCTTAAAATTTGTGTGTCACGGAAATAACCAAATTTCTTTGCTAATAGTATTATAATGAACTCTCCTCAGACCTTTTGGCTGTGGCCATTTGTGAGTCTTTTGTCATTTAGTCGCTGTTTTTCTCTGACACTTTTGCAAAAGCATTCCCACAAGAGTGCTTCCTCTACAAGTGAATTCATGGAAAGGACTCTGGCAAGCAGAGGTTTCTGATCATAAAACCCAATGGGTAAGAATTTTCCACAACTAGTGGAAAAATTGGATTCAAGCAAAACAAGAAATAATAACATGGGACTGAATACATGGATGAGGATGATTATAATTTTTATGACTTTTTGTTTGAAACTCTTTTGTTTTTCCAGATTTAAGGAAAATTTTTTCTTAAGCTACCTATGTCTTAGAGCAATAACTTGGTAAACTGTATCTTTGGAAACAAAGATGAAAGAATTACATTTTCTCCCTACCTGATCCTTCCAGAATTTGGAAACTCTTAGTGAGTGAATATTCTTATTTTCATGGTGGAATAGTTTACATGCAAAAGTTCAGTAAGAATCTACTCTCCTTGTAACAGGACAAAATTGGAAACATCTGTTATATTACCAAGGCTTTGACTGGAATGTCATATTTGAGAGAGATGTGCATAGCATCAGATATGCCAGACAGCATTAAGGAACTAAGGTTGCCTTTATGGCCAATAAAACCACTTGGAAAACCAACCTATTACCTTGCTTACAGACTTCCTGACGATCTAAATAGGTATAAGGAAGGTCACTTCCTGGCAGATGCAGGCATCTCAGGAAATCTTTGGGACCTCAAAGAGAGGAATTTACCCAGATTTATAGGTATTGCAGACAAAATCTGATGGTGAGCCTTTGGCTTGGCTTCCTAGCCTGGAGAGGCTTTTAAAAATTCAATCTGAGGGGCGCCTGAGTGTCTCAGTCGGTTAAACATCGGACTCTTGATTTCAGTTCAGGTGCCTGAGATCCAGCCCTGCCTCAGGCTCCCCGCTGGGGATGGAGCCTGTTTAAGATTCTTTCTCTCTCTCTCTCTCTCTCTCTCTCTCTCTTCCCCTCTCTCAGGATGCCTGGGTGGCTCAGTTGCTTAAGCATCTGCCTTTGGCTCAGGTCATGATCCCAGAGTCCTGGGATCAAGTCCCACATCAGTCTCCTTGTTCAGCGGGGAGTCTGCTTCTCCCTCTGCTTGCCCCTGCCCCTGCTTGTGCACTCTCTCCCTCTCTCTCTCTTTCTCTCTCTCTCCTTCTCTGACAAATAAATAAATAAAATCTTTAAAAAAATGAGATTCTCTCTCTCCCTCTCCCTCTGCCCTCCCCCCTCAAGTGGGAGCTTGGGTTCTCCCTCTCTCTCAAAATAAGTAAAATAAATAAAAGTTCAGTCTGAGATTCCTTATGAAAAGTTCAAGCAAAGCAGATTTAAAAGAGCCTATGTCGTCAACCACTCTTCTTGCTGCACTTATGTAAATAATCAGGCCAAGTTTTTTGAAACTAGACCTACTTTGCAAACAAATTAGTCTTATTTTGGCTATCTTTGGTAACAATGAAAGTGATTTCAGAGAGACAAAATTATGTTTCAGTAGCACACCTTTGTGGATATTCAATTCTATTACTGTCCATTGCCTTTGAGGTTTTGTTATTTACCCGTAGACAGGACTACATCCTGAATTCTTCTAGTCTCCTCACATAACTGACTACAAGTCTTTAAACTAATGTTTCCAATTTCTTCCCAACTTTTGAATTGGAATCGTTGAAAACTAAAACTGCTTTTTTTTTTTTTATGGAGCCCTGTGTACTAAAGCTAGACAATTTGATAGAAACACCAGAAAAATTGCCACGATAGAACCTGGGTGGCTCTGTTGGTTAAGTGTCCGACTCTTGATTTCGGCTCAGGTCATGATCTCAAAAGGTCGTGATCTCAAATAGCTCACGTTTAGACAATCTTGTTCATGCCTTTTGTTGAATGGGCCACCCAGAAAGTTCACCAGCACACCTGCTGACATCATCAGAGACATTCAACCTGCAAACGAGGAAAATCAGTCAGATTGCCCCTGCCTGTCCTCATTCCATCTGAAGATGCTTCTAAGCCTGATATTTAGAAATATCCTTAACTGGCAGCCTTCAGGACTCAGACACTAGGTTATCATTTGCTCCAACCATTAACCTTTATTTTTCTTTTGTTCACCTGATTGTTTGCAAAATAGGGACCTAACTTTGGGAGCCCACCTGCAAGACTGCTTCCTGAGGGGCGCCTGGGGGCTCAGTCGTTAAGCGGTTCGGCTCAGGTCATGATCCTGGGGTCCTGGGATGGAGCCCCGCATCGGGCTCCCTGCTCCGTGGGAAGCCTGCTTCTCCCTCTCCCGCTCCCCCTGCTTGTGTTCCCTTTCTCGCCGCCTCTCTGTCAAATAAATAAATAAAATCTTAAAAAAAAAAAAAGAGTGCTTCCCAAAATGAGAGAACTCTAACTGAACTGATCTATTCTCAAGACTGAGACTGGTTCAAAGGAGATTTGGAACAACCTGGGAACTTAACTTTTGGACTGTGAAGCTTCTTATTTGAAGTTTTAAAGGTGGGACTGCCTTTAAAGGGAGCAGAATTTGTCACCCAAAAATATGCCTCTTTGCCATAAGGATTATTTTTGGTTGATTACTTTCAAGAAACTGCAGATTAAGGAAAAGCTCTTTACCTCCCCCTCAACTGCCTATATTGACATTGGAAAGGGGGAACATAGGAAAAGACCTATTGCTAGAGATACCTTTTAAGAAACCTTTTACCTGCATAACAGGGCAACATTTGCTTTTCAAACATTTCCTCTCACCTTCTTATGAATGGCCATCCTTCTTCTGTCCCCAGACTCCTATACCTTTCCTTGGCTCAGGATGGTCTATAAGCCTTTAAAAAAAAAAAAAAAAAAAAAAACAGATTTTATTTATTTATTTGAGATAGAGAGATAGTTGGGAAAGGGCAGAGAGAGAGAATTCCAGGCCAACTCTGCACTGAGCAAGGAGTCCAATGCAGGGTTCCATATCACCACCTTTTGAGATCATGACCTGAGCTGAAATCAAGAGTCAGACACAACCAACAGAGCCACCCAGGTTCTAGAAATCTTAATTGCCTGGCTGCCCTTTGGGTCTCATATTTTTATGGGGCTCTTATACATAAAAAATTTGTTTTTCTGCTATTAATCTGTCTTTTATCAATTTAATTATTGGCTCAACCAAGAACCTGGAAAGGAAAAAGAAAAAAATTTTCTGCCCCCACAGAACAGTTTCTAGAATTAATTATTATTATTGGCTTATTATTATTATTAATTATTAGAATTAGATTGTCATAAGTTGAAATGCATATTGTAATACCTAGAGCAAGCACTAAGAAAATAATGAAAGAAGCATAGCAAAAGGGAAAAAAACCCAAAAGAATTAAAATGACACACAAAAAATACTTATTCAATACCAAACAAAGAAGTAAGGAAGGAGGATAAGAATAAAAAAAATGAGAAAAATAGAAAGCAAATAACAAAATAGCAGATGTAACTCCAACCCTATCAGTAATTCACTAAATATAAAGATTGTATTTATTTGAGAGAGACAGAGAGACAGATAGAGAGAGCACAAGCAGGGAGGAGAGGGAAAAACAGGCTCCCCGCTGAGCAGGGAGCCCAACATGGGGCTCCATCCCAGGACCCTGGGATCATGACCTGAGCCAAAGGCAGATGCTTAACGATTGAGCCACCCAGATGCCCTTACAATTCCCTGAATATAAATTTTTTCTACTATGATACTGTGATTTATAATAAGAAATATATATTTGGTCTTAGTCCATGGTTTTCAGCTCACAGGTCCCAAAATTCTTGGAATTTCCTAAGTGATGAGGGCAACAGTGGCATCTTTTATGTAGTTTTTTTGTCCTCAATTCCTGAAAATGCTTCAGAGCCATAAAGGTGAGTTGAATGTCTTGTTATCCATAGCAAGTCCCTTTCCACCACCACTGAGCTTCTGTTGATGAGCTGACTTTTGGAAATCCCTTAAAGATGGGGGAGCTGGTTGCCAGGAGAACCAACCATGATTAGAGGGTTGGAACTTTCACTCTCACCCCTGATTTCCAGAGAGGGGAAAGAGGCTGCAGGTTGACTCGATCACCAATGGTCCATGATTTAATCCATCATGCCCTTGTAATGAAGCCTCCATTAAAAATTCAAAAGGATGGGGTTTAGAGACCTTCCAGGTTGGTGAACCAGAATGCTTCCACATGTCACCATGTCAGGCCCCAAACCCCATGAGGACAGAAGCTCCTTTGTGTGGAACTTCATTCTATGTATCTCTTTATCTGGCTGTTGATTCATATCCTTTAATATTCTTTGTAATAAACTCATAATCTAGTGAGTAAACTGGTTTCCTGAGTTCTGTCAGCCACTTTAGCAAATTAATCAAACCCAAGAAGGGGGTCAGAGGAACCTCTGACTTATATCTAGCAAGTCAGAAACACAGATTAACAACCTAAACTTGCAGTTGGGTTCTGAAGTGGGGGGCAGTCTTGTGGGACTGAGCCCTCGATCTGTGGAATCCAGTGCTGCCTCCAGATAGATAGCAAGTGTCAGAACTGAGTTGAAATGTAGGACACACATCTGTTGTGTGAGAATTGCTTGGTGATGTGGGAAAAAACCCCTGGACATTGGGAGTGAGGGCAGAATTGTGACTAAACACTCCACTCAAAAGGCACAGATTGTCAAACTGAATAAAAAAGAGCAAGACCAAACTCTATGCTGTCTCCAAGAAAAGTAGCTTAGATTCAAAGAACAAGGAGATTAAAAGTAAAAGAATGGTGGAACTCCAGTTTTAGCTATGACATGAAAAAAGCTTGAATTCATCACATCCCTCCTTTCAACAGGATAAAAGCTGAACAAACCAAAAATAAATGACTTTTCTAAGACCCATCAGGAAATTGATATCATGGGGCAAAGTAGCAGCCTGACGTCAGGAGAGACAGGTAAATATGGAGAATCACAGCCTCCATCAGCTCCCCTTAAAGGAGAAGCCACTACAGCCATGAAATGGAAGGAATGCTTAAATGATAATTTTGATGAATTGCTGGAGGCTGAGTGTGGATTTGCCTGAGAGTGATAAGCCCCTGCTGGTGCAGTTTCAGGAAAGGCCCCCACACTTACATTGACTTTACCTTCAGGAATACCACCACATCCTCAGGGTGAGGCTCTGACAAAAATTCCCTCACGTTTCAAGCAGAAGTGAGGAGAAAGTAACTATTTTTATATATGCCTAGAGTTGTTCTTCATAACAAAGGTTTGCTCTGCAAAGGACCAACTTTATCAGAGACTTATCTATCGGGGGGAAGCCAACTCCAGCTCCTTATGGACTTCCTGTTTCACCTAAAGGAAACACAAAAAAGACACAGAAAAACTGAAGGTCATAGCCCAGAGACTCAGGCACACTAAAAGACAGAGATTGAATTATATGATTATAGAAATCTTCTCCCCCCAACACCGCACTAGCACATCAGCAGGGCTCCAGTATCGTAACAGCAGATTACAATTGAGAAAGCTGAAACACACAAGGACAGAGGAGGGAACTGAAGCCCCTGGGAGGAGCAGGCACAGTAAACAGTAAACACAGCCCAGCTCCTAGCCAGATTGATAGGAAGCCTCACACAGAAGGCCTGTTGGTCTCAGTTCCTATTGCCTAAAAGCAAAGGCATGTTTGCTTTCAACCAAAAAATTATAAGGCATAGTAAAAGGCAAATAAAAACAGTCTGAAGAGACAAAGCAAGCCTCAGAAGCAGACACAAATATGACATAGATTTTGGATTTCTGGGATATGGAATGTAAAATAACTATGATTAATATGTTCAGGGCTCTAATGAAAAAGTAGGCAATATGCAAGAATGTGAACAGAGAAATAGAAATTCTAAGAAATGATTCAAAAGGAATGCTAGAAATCAGATATACTGTAACACAAATGAAGAATGCCCTCGATGGGCTCACGGGTACACTGGACACATCTGACAAAAGAATCAGTGAGAACCAAGATATGTCAATGGAAACTGCCCAAACTGAAATGCAAAGAGGAAAAAAAAATGAAAACAAAAGAAGAGAATATCTAATAACTGTGGGACAATTACAAAAGGTGTAGGATATGTGTAGTGGGAATACCAGAAGGAGAAAAAAAGAGGGAAAGGAGCAGAAGAAATTGAGTAATAATGGCTGAGAATTTTCCAACATTAATGACAGACATCAAACTACAGGACTCAGAGAACACCAAACAGGATAAATACTAAAATATCTATACCAAGGCATCTCGTATTTAAACTTCAGAAAACCAAAGGGAAAGGAAGTCTTAAAGAAGTTGGGGACAGGGGAGGGGAGGGACACCTTACCTATAGAGGTACAAAGATGAAAATTGCACTGGACTTCTCACCAGACACCATGCAAGCAAGAGGGTAAAGTAAAATATTTTAACAGTTGAAAAAAAACCCCACCAACCAAAATTCTATGTCCAACAAAATTTTCCTTCAAAAATGAAGGAGAAATAAAGACTTTTTCAGATAAAAAACTGAGGGATTATATCACCAGTAGGCCTGCCCTGAAGGAAATATTTTATTTTTTATTTTATTTTATTTTTAAGATTTAGCCATTTATTTGAGAGAGAGAGAGACGAGACAGAGAGCCCATGAGCAGGGGGAGAAGAATAGGGAGAGGGAGAGGAGAAGCAGACTCCCTGCTGAGTGGGGAGCCCCACGTGGGGCTTGATCTCATGACCCTGAGATCACGACCTGAGCCAAAACCAAGAATCAGACGCCCAGCTGACTGTGCCATCCAGGTACCCGTAGGAAATATTTTAAAAGAAGCTCTTCAGAGAGAAGGAAAATAGCATACTTTAGAGACTCAGATCTATATAATCGAATGAAGAACATCAGAGAATAAATAAGTGAAATACTAAATAAAATTAATAAATAAAAATTTAAAAAATAAACTAAAGCCTTTTACTTTTCTTATTCTTAATTGATCTAATAGATAACTATTAGTTCAAAGTAATGATAGTAACGATATACAGGGTGATTACAGCATTTGGTCAAGTGAATGATAGCAATATTATAAAGGACAAGAGGGAGGAATTGAGAATTATAAATATAGACCTAAGTAGATTTAGATTAGTTGTAAATATATATTGTAAACTCTATACTAACCACTAAAATATTTTGAAAAGAAGTATAATTGGGGGCGCCTGTGTGGCTCAGTTGATTAAGCTCTGTCTTCAGCTCAGGTCATGATTCCAGGGTCCTGGATGGAGCCCCACATTGGACTCCTTGCTCAGCGGGGAGTCTGCTTCTCCCTCTCTCTCTGCCTCTCCCCCTGGCTCATGCTCTCTCCCTTCCTCTCTCTCTCAAACAAATAAATAAAATCTTTTTTAAAAAAAGAAGTATAATTGATGTTAATATAGGAGAGAAATGGACGATTATAAAATTCTCAATAAGAACCAAGAGAAGGCATTAAAAGAAGAGAGGTTAAAAAAAAGAAAAAAACCAAGTGCAACAAATATTAGACAGTTATAAATGTGGTAGTTATTAATCTAACTATATAAGAATTACTTAAAATGTGAATAGTAAATATAGAAATTAAAAGACAAGAGATTGTCACAACAGATAAAAACATAAGATCCAACTATATGTTGACTATAAGAAACCCATTTTAAATATGAAGACACAGATAAGTTAAAGAGGTGAGGTAAGAGATCCCATGCTAACACTAATCAAAAAAAAGCTGTATTAGCTACATTAATTTCATCCAAAACATACTTGGAACAAGATAAATTATCAGTGATTAAAAGGGGCATTACATAGTGATAAAAGGGTCAATTCCCCAAGACACATTCCTTAACATGTATGCACCTAACAACAGAATGTCAAAATAAGTGAGGCAAAAACTGATAGAACTGCAAAGAGAATTGGACAAAGACACTATTGTAGCTGGAAACTTCAAACTCCTCTTTCAGTAAATGATGGATCCAGCAGGCATAAAATCAGTAAGGATATAGCTGAACTGGATAGCACAATTAATCAACTGGATCTAATTGACATTTATATAATAGTTCACCCAACATGTGTAGAATATACTTTCTTCTCAAATTCACATGGAATATTCAGCAAGATCGATGGCATTCTGAACCTTTAAACAATCCTTAACAAATTTAAAATAGAAATCATACAAAGTATGTTCTCACCACAATGAGATTAAACTAAAAATCAATATCAGAAAGATAGCTAGAAAATCCCAAAACGTTTGGAGATTGAACAACACATTTCTAAATAACACATGGGTGAAAGAAATCTCAAGAGGAATTTAAAAATATTTTGAACTAAATGAAAATGAAATACAACTTATCCAAATGCGTTGAATGCAGTAAAAGCAGTGCTTGCAGGGAAATTATAGCATTGAATGCATACATCACAAAAGAAAGAAGATCTAAAATCAGTAACCTTAGGAAACTAGGAAAGAAGAAATTAAATATGAAGTAAAATCTTAATAAATGAAGATGAGGGGGGTGGAGCAAGGTGGCGGAGTTGTAGGAGACCTGGATTTCGTCTGGTCTCAGGAATTCAGCTGAATAGGGATCAAACCATTCTGAACACCTACGAACTCAACAGGAGATCGAAGAAAAGAATAGCAACAACTCTCTGAACAGAAAAGAGACCACTTACTGGAAGGTAGGACGTGCGGAGAAGTGAATCCGAGGCGATATTCGGGAGGATAGACGGTGGGGGAGGGGGCCTCCGCGGCCGCTTCTGGCAAGTGCTAGAGCCGCGGAGCACAAAATCGGAACTTTTAGAAGCCGGCTCTGCGGAGGGACGTCGCTCCAGTGGCTAAGCGGGGGGTGGAACCCTCATGGGACAGTGTGGTCTCAGGACTCTTGGGCTCACAGAAAGACTGGGGGTGCCTGAGTGTGGCAGAGCTCCCAGGTATCGGAGCGGGGAAGCCGGCTGCAGAGACGGAGCAGAGTCGCGGGCTGTCAGCTCGGGGTGGCCATAAACTGTGATCCGCGGCCCAGTCGGGCCACTGCTCCTCCAGCAGGGACCCAACAAGGGGCAGAGCCGGGGAGACTCCTCTTCCTCCCCCGGGAGGAGTGGCGTGGGAACGCACCGCAGGGATCTGCTGGATTTGGAGACTCCACACGGGGTCGGGTGCCAGAGATAGAAACACTCGGTCACAGGCCGGGTGAGCACGGAGTGCGGCCGGACCGGGGAGACGGGAGTGACTGACTGCTTTTCTCTGGGGGCGCACTGAGGAGTGGGGCCCCTAGTTCTCGGATCCTCCTGGGCGGAGATTGGGAGGCCACCATTTTCACCCTGGTCCTCCAAGGCTGTACGGAGAGCTTGCAGGGAACAAAAGCTCCTGAGAGCAAACCCGAGCAGCTTGCTTAGCCTGGACCGACAAGGGCGGGGCAATTCCGCCTCCGGCAAAGACATTTGGGAACCACGGCAACAGGCCCCTCCCCCAGAAGATCAGCACGAACAGTCACCAAGCCAAGACCAAGTTTACCGATCAAGGAGAACGGGAGAACTCCAGCGCTAGGGGAATACTGCACATAGAACTCATGGCTTTTTTTTTTTTACCATGATTCATTAGTTCATCAAAGTTAATTTTTTTAACTGTTTTTTTTTTAATTTTTCTTTTTCCCTTTTTCAACCAACATCTTATCAATCCCTTGTTTAAAAAAACATTTTTTATTTATTTTTAGTCATATTTTATCCCTTCATACTAGTTACCCTTATTTTTGGCATATATATATAAGTTGTTCTCTCTTTAAAATTTTGAGATACAGTTTCTTCTAACAGATCAAAATATACCCTAAATCACTAGTGCATGGCTTTGTTCTAGTCTCCTGCCTGATCACATTCTCTCCCTTTTTTTTCTTTTTTTTTTTTTTTAAATCTCTTCTTTCTTTTTTCAACAACTACTTAAAGGGTCTATCCAACCAGAAGATCTAACAATTGTAAATATCTATGCGCCTAACATGGGAGCAGCCAATTATATAAGGCAATTAATAACAAAAGCAAAGAAACACATTGACAACAATACAATAGTAGTGGGGGACTTTAACACCCCCCTGACTGAAATGGACAGATCATCTGAGCAAAAGATCAACAAGGAAACAAAGACTTGAAATGACACACTGGACCAAATGGACTTCACAGATATTTTCAGAACATTCCATCCCAAAACAAT